CCTTGAACAGTGTTGCAAAGAGAAACAGAAGATAGTAAATTGTATCCTCAATTGAAGGCTGCACTGATTTGGGGTGCTTTGTTTCCTTTCACAGTGGAATTTTATGGCTCACCAAAAAGCCAATATGGCTGATGTCTGAGCTATTTATAACTTATGCCACAGCCATTTAAAGATTTCACTCCATTTTCCGATTAGAAATGCTCTGATGGCACAGGCGTCCTGACATGTAAATTATGACAAACAGCTTCTCATCCATTCCCACAAAATCCACGTCTCCTTTCTTTATCCCATCCATTGCTAGCAACTAGCCCATGTTTTCAAAACGTCTCACCACTTCCTTTTCTTACCAATCATCACTGGCTCACAACCAAGCCAGACTCCATCCTTATCAGCCCAGAGTATCCACTCCCACTGCCCACTTATTAATGTTATGGCAATCACATGCCTCCTCCTTTCATACTCAGCCTCCTCCCATGCCTGCAAGAAATTCCATGAAAACATTCATGATTCCACTTCAGCACTCTCTTATCTCTGGCAGGGAAGTAATGCTGGCACCGAGAGCAACACCACACTCATCACCTCATGTGGAACTTAAGGCTTCAAAAACAATTTACCAAAAAATAAAAATAAAAAAAAAAAAACCCACAGGAAAGTGACAGGAAAATTTATACTGGATCCTTTGGAACCTTTAAGATGTATCAAAATGCAGTTTATTTCATAGAGTTGCAACATTTTTCTTAAATAGAAGGACTGTAGCTTTAGTTTACAAGTGTAAAGAAATTAAATCACTTTTCAGTTTTTAGCAGTAGTAGACACATCTGGATTAGGTAGGAGCTTTTTCTCTTCTTTGTAGAGTCAAACACAATTTCTTCTCAGTAATCTACAATATTCATGGATTTAAATACAGAATCTACATTTGTAGTAGTCTCATAACCTTTTGGGGGAAGTACTGTCCCTGTCCTCGAAGGCCAGAACTAATTTTGTGTTAAAATATTCCGAGTCCCCCGAGCTTATCCATTTCCCCCTTCAAAACCCAAACACATCTATGCATTTCAATCAAGAAAAGGTCAAGACATCAAGCACAATATGACCCTACCTCAGGCTTCACAAATAGTTTGTGATAAATTTCATGTTATGACAATGCAAGGAAAAAAAAATAAAAGAATAAAAGCAGAATCCATTAGTGACTTGGAAAGCTTCTTGCTACATAAAATAAATCCAATCAAGAAACAGAAAACTATTCCAGACACCATATGCCTCTGTCCTGACATTACTGAGAGCACTTTATAGAAAAATCAGGTCACATATAGGAAGCTTTGTTTTCTTTAAAAGTCTTCATGCAATTATTTCTCAATCATAACTGCAATATAAGGTGTGGGGGATTGTGATTTGTGTAAATCCACACTCAGATTTCAAGTGGAAGCTCTCTCTTTCCAGCCTTGGTTGACTTTCTTGTACCTCCCATAAAAATTTGCTCTGACAAGAAAAGCAACAAACTGTACTCCAATGGTTATATTCCCTCTGTAAGAATACTGTACCTGAAGTTGCATAATAAGGTGACAAACCAGTGAAAGGAGAAAAATAAAGAAAACATCATATTTGCAATTACTAATTCTATAATAAGTTCTATAGTAAGCACTTGACATTCAACCAGCCTTAAGCAAAATAAGGAGCGGAAAAAAAATCGGGCACAATTATCAATAGCATTTTCTGTGGAACCAAAGATACAAAGACAACTCCATTCTAGTAACATGCCCTGACCTACAGCTTCCATCTTGCTTTCTCAGTGAAGATCATGAAGTGGCTGTTTATCATGCCAGCCTCTTCATAGTTACCAATACCCTTTGGACTGCTCAGGAGCCCTTCCAGGGACTAACAATCCTATGTCCAAAAGCTGTTCCCCAAAATTTCACTCAAGAATCAAACTGTGTCCCTAAATCCTGAGGACACACTGGTGAAGCCTTCAGAGAAGAAGGCTTCTTTGTCCTTCAGTGCCAGGAGTGGGGTCTCCCAAAGGAGGGGTGAAAGCAGACCCTCAGGAAAGCATCCCTATCTGCATTTTGTATCAGGAATCATCATGGGTCTACAGAAATCTCTACCTCACCTGGGAATTCTGGAGTTCATGCATCCAGAAGATCACTTCAACCAAAGGGAAGGAACACTCAAAGAAATAAAGTCACTTATCACATTTTCCTTTCTACTCTCCTAGATGTCAATGGATAGGAAGTTACTTCACATGCCATCTCCTCTTCCACCTGAAAATATGGCAGTAACAAAACCTGCCCTGTTCTCATCTGCCCATTCTTCACAGTGCACAACTCCAACTAGGCAACTCACCTGCCCACACACACTACACTGTAAAATTTGCACTGCTTGAAGCTGTTCAATCTCTTCCACGCTCAGGCTGGGTTGGCCTGAAAGACGCTCATGCTTACTCTCACCTCAGTTACACAGAGCAAAACAGTTTCTCAAACAACCAAGAACATTGGCTAGAAGACTTCCTTAACTGAGAGCACATTTCAGAAGAGGAATCACTGTTCAAACTGTCTGGATTTGGTTTAATTTGTTTTAAGTGCAAATTCTGTTACCAGATTATAGTTCCAGGGTAGGCTTGTGAGAGGGAGTTAAGACACCCCACTCCCCAAAACCACACTACCTCAGGACACCTGCAAGGGTTTCAATCACCTTCCAGGACTGCCACAAGCAAAGCAAGCAACTGTCAAATTGCAACCAAAGACAAATCATGGAAACAACCTCTTTCCCACACTTCCCATGCCCAAAAACCCCCTCTCAAGCAACAGTGCCTCCCAACCAGCCCCTTCTGAGAGCATCAAGGTTTCTTCCTACCACAAGTAAGGCAGGTGGTCCCTATCACCCCTCCCAGGGCTCAGGTGCTGCTCCTTCCCCACAGCTCTCAGCCTTCACCCAACCCCTGCTGCATCTGCCCCTTTGCAGGGACTTCTCCCAGGAGAAAGGGATGGGAACATTCCAGCCAGGGCCTCTGCAAGCATTTCCCCCATCTCTCTGCATGCCACAAAAAGGTCTCCCCTCCTACCAGCCCAGCACACCTCCCAGCTGGGAATTACCACACCGAACACTTTCTATCTGGCCCTGCTTTTTCTCTCTCTGCAGATCTCATCTCCAAATAGGAGAATGATTCTTTGAGTTTTACTGGAAATAGTCCAAAGAAATTTGAAGATGGATAAGTTGTAAATCTTAACAGTTTGTCACCAAGTTATTAATGTTTGAAATGTTCCAAGTACAAACAAATGCTAACACATCTAATAATTTGTCTATTATATCCAGAATCTTATGGCAATGATGAAATCTACACAATCTACACAAACTCTCAGATTAAGCTAAGGAGTAGTTTCTATATCTTATTAATTATAAATAAAAATTCCCCTCAGTTTTCAGTGCTTATGAAGATGAAAAGCTTTCATGCAGATAAATGAAGTGTACCTCTATGTTCAATTTAGTTTTTCTAAAGAGTGGCAAGTACCTGAGAAGAAACTCAACTTGAACAAAATCTTCACAGAAACAAAAAAGGATTGCAGTTTTGATTTTCTTTAAATAGAGAAAAATAGTAACTGGGCTTCTTTTCCAAGATGATACTAGATAGCAGTTCTAAATATTTTCATCTACACAAACCATTTATTATCCTTCGTTTTCTCCTTCCACAAACAGCCCAAACTTTCCATTTCTGAGACTTCAAATTAAAGACTTTCATATGGCTAGCTTCAGTCATGCAAAATTCAAAAATAGTATAAATGCAGAACAATATTAAGACCATAAATCTAAATGTACATTAATTGCATCCAGTAGGCAACAAAAAGCTTAATAATTGAGAAAATTAAGAGTAGGTATTTATTAAAGCACAGTCAGAACCAGGAAATTAGAACTGTATTCCTTCTTGTATCTCTGTTTACAACAGGAAAGGATCACAAGTGATTATTCGTTCAGATTTCTGTTTTCCTCTAAAGTAGGCCAGCCAGCTCAGCACTTTTCTTAAGATTATGAATACTTGTCTGCCCTACATATGGTTTAGGCTGAAACCAATCAGTTGAGCTGAAACATGCAGCAAAACCAACTATTTTCATGTCATTGATTTTCAGCTATAATGAAGAAGTGCACAGAACAGGTATAAAAGGATCAGATTTTAAATACTTTTAAAATTTGCTTTGCTGTTAGCACTTAGTTCACTAAGGAGCTCACTGATTTCCTCGCTACTGGATTAACACTTTATCTAGATTCAAGAATAATTTGTTACTCATTAATAACTCTTTAACCACTTGTTTTCTCTGCTAGTTTCCAGTTCATTTTTGTACATTGATTACCTCATTTAGTAAGAAAACTGAGTGCTGAACTGCATCCAGTAGACTTTCACATTACTAGGACATTCAGGATGCCAAGCACACTCTGCAAGAAGCCTTACATCAAAACTTTGAAAACGTATGAAACAAAAGAATTCCTTAAAATTTTAACTGAAATACTTTTGTTTGCTCTTTCTCCCCCACACAAGCCATCCTTAAGATTTTTGTGGCTATTTGGAGGAAGAGAGGTTAAATTATAGAAGTTTACTAGCTTGAGTTCAAAATAGAAAACAGTAATGTCTTCAAACAAACTGGACTATTTGGAAGATCAGAACTGAAGAAAGTGCTTTGCTTAAATTGTTTTTAACTTATTTTTCTTAAAAGTTATGTCGTCTCATTTTCTAGAGCTTCTAAGCACTTATAGACTCTATGGAATCATTACCTTCAAAATATAAGTTCATTATGGAAAAATAAAAACTTTCATATTTGGGTTTTCCTTTTCGATTTAAGATTACAACATTTCTGTTAGATTAACAGCACTCAAAACTCTTAACAGGTATCAGTAGCAAGGCAAAACAAAAAAATAAATAAATAGAAGACTACAAAGCAAGTTTGTTTAAAACAAAGACAGTGCACTTTGCATTTTGATGTATGAGACAGTATTTTTGCACCAGGGGAGAAGCATACCTTTCATCAGCTACAGAACCTTGATGTCAGATGGCAGTATAATCCAAATGGGTCTCAGCAGCATGTTCCACAATATCCACAAGTTTCAGCATGGGACTCTTCACCCAGGAAACCATTAACCATAACCATGGATCCAAACAGCTAAAACGTTAAGCAGCTGTAAGTTCCAGCTTGAACCATGTTAAGCAGGTCTGAGGAATCCCAAACTGTATTCCACCATTTGAAGGGTAATGCAATATGGCATCCATCAGAGACTGATGTTCTGGCAACCATCCCATTTTCCCAACAATCATGTTGTGACCTGTTTGAATACGAGGAAGAAGTGTTAGCTCAGCACAGTAACTGCCACACCACTGGTGGACTAACACGCAAATATAAAGTTAAAGTTCTTTTGAATAATTTCAAACACAAATTTCTTCATAGATTTAGACACATCCTAAACTCAAACCCTGGTGATGGTGCTTTGCTTTAAAAACATTGCAGGGCTGGAGTGTAACAGAAGAAGGTATAAGAAAAAGGCTTTCATATATCTCTACAGATTGCACAGTCTTACCTTCCAGAAAACACTGAACTGACAGGGGAAAAAAAGGTATTACAAAGGCTCTCCATCTGCCCTGGCAGGTATTTAAAAACTAATGAAAACAGTAAGTCAATAAAAAAAAAACAAGTAGCAAAAATAAAATTCATCAACCCTTTTGAGGGAAGTGTATGTGATCTCTGTCTCCTCCTTCCTTTGTTGTAGGTCTCCCCACAGCACCTCCACCAGCAGATGTGCTGCTTCAGTTGGGACCGAAACTATGAGTACTACTGGTGACATTTGGCCCAGGAAGAAGCCAAAGTAGCCAAACCTGCATCAGTCTACTCTGGTAGTCCCCCTGTGCAATTCCTTCAGAGATGCAAAATGCAAATTTAACTTAGGTTGGAAAGGGGACTATGAGAAATGGAGAGAAAAGTCTGAGTGCTCTGCACAGGAGGAAAGAATGATGTGAAGAGCAGCATCAGGCCTGCAAAGATGGAGTGGGGGAAAGGGAAAAGAACAAAGTTCCACACCAAGGACAACTGAGAGGAACTAGAAGAAGCTTTTATAGACTGGAAAATGCGCAGAGATGAAGATAAGAAAAAAGGAGAAAGTGAACATTGGTGAACAAGAATCACTGCTAGAAGCTCTGTCTGTGTAACTGGGTAATATGGATGTAGGGCAGTCCACAGATAAATAAGTTTAGGAGAGAACAAGAAGAAGCTTTATGTTTGCTTCACATCAGGAGAAACGAGTGTTTCTACGCATGGAGAAAAGGAGGTATCTTGGCAAATGGAGTTTTTCATGAGACATGCAAGCAAGCATAAATATAGAAGAGTAGGTGGGAAAAGATTAAGGAGGATGAATAGCAATAAAAAGGGAAAAAGTATATTTCAGAAATTCTGAAATGGGTAGCTCTAAGGAGAGAAGAGGACAATTAGTAAACTGGGACAGGAAAACACAAGAAAGTAGAGGACTAGGATAAAAAAAGAGAAAAGTGGACAGTTATTACATAGCACACAAAAAGAGGATGGGGAAACAGTAAGATACCAAATTGATCAAGATAATTAAGAAAAGTGCAAAGAGCGGACAAGTAAGTTTTCTGGAGTTGCGATGCTTGCTCTAGACAGCATGAACCAAAAAGAATGGAACAAAACCCAAGGCAACTATTGCGTTTCCAAAGGGACGAAGGGAATTGCACTGAAGCCCAGCCGAGGAAGGGCCATCCTGGACTGACCCTTCCCACTCTCCCCTTCTCTACGATCAATGCATTTGGAAGAACAAAGTTCTCCCTCTGGTCCGTCCCTCTTCTCCGAAAATTGTCCCTCGGCACTTCTGCGCACCTTGGTTCCCTGGAATGGTCCCGCAGGAGCAGCGCGTTACCCTCTGTGGTGTCTCTGGCCCCGCCACCCAAGCTGGCACACGGCGGAGCCCCCTCCTTGCCCCTGCCCAGCCCCACGGCCTTCACTAGCCCCCCACTCTCTGGCCAGGGCCGCCAGGACTCCCTACAATCCCAGCAAGTTTTCTCCGTCTTCAGCTTTTCTCTGTCTCAACTCGTCAAAACACAGCCCGATCCAGAAAGCCCTCCGAGTCCACTTCCCTCCCCTCAAAAGGAAAAAAAAAAAAAAAAAAAAAAAAAAAAAAAAAAGAAAAAGAAAAAGAAAAAAAAAAAAAAAGAAAGAAAAAGAAAAGAAAAATACAAAAAAGTTAAACGTCTAAAATAAAACAATGCAGGCACAAGAAGGAGGCAAGACCCCCCCGAGCAGTGCCCCCCAGCCCGCATTACGGGAGTTCGGGCGGAATGACTGCCTTACCCTCCGCAAAAATACCTGCATGTGCTCCCAAAAGTACAAAGAAGAGGCTGGGCTGGCCCGCAGCCGCCTCCGCTGCGCTCCCAGAGCCGGGCGCGGATGGCAGGGCGGAGGGGGGGGCGACGAGGGAGCCGGGAAAGAACAATAAACCCCAAGTCCAAACGTACCTTCTCCTTTCTCTAAACTGTGAAACCAGATTTCCTTAGAAACCTACGGCGAGGCTCTTTGCTTTTAAGCTGCGGGAGAGCTCGAAGAAAGTTGAGTAAATCTCTTCGGATAAAGTTGCCGAAGATGAGTTAACCCGGGAGAGGCGACGGAGAGATGGAGAGTTCATCCGAGTTTCTCCTTTTGTTCAAGTTGCCCGAGCAGACAAAGAGCCGGCAGCGGCGGCAGGTCCCCCGCGCCCCTGCTCCCCCCGCGGTCCGGGCGCCGCCGGGGTCCCGTACTGCCCTCGCCCCCCTCCTCCTCCCACCACCGCAACTTTCCGTCTGCTCCATCCCTCCTCAGCCCCGACCCCGGCTCCGGAGCAAAACTTCCCTCGAACTGAACCTCCCAGAAAAAGAAAACAATTTAATTCAAGGCGGGGGAGTGGGGGGTGGAAAGGGAGAGAACCATCTCTCAAATCATTATTTCCGGTAGATGCACCTCTTTGTTTGGATTCCCCGACTGTCAGTGAGGACAAGTCTCTTGGGATCTGCTTTCGGACAGTTTGATCTGCCGGAATGAGACAGGCAAACGCAGGACATAAAGAAAAATAACTTTAGAAGAAAGAAAAGGGGGGCGGGGGGGAGTAAATAGAAAACAATATAAAACTCCGGAGTTGCGAAACGAACCCGTTTTTCATGGACACGGGAAGTACATAAATAAACAGCTGAAGGGGAATTTCGGAAAACTGTTGGTTCTCCTCCCCCTCCCCTTCGCACTTTTCCAGAGAACGTAACAAAAAGAGCCCCCCGAAACCTCCTGGCCGCGGCTCCGTGCCGCCGCCGCCAGCTCCTGGCATCCCTACCTGTTGCGTAGAGCGCAAAGATGGGGCCCACCGCATCCGTCCCAAAGAAACCAAAAGGGAAGGAGGGGACTGCCCGCACCCCACGGCCCCTCCACCTGCCCTCCGCAGCCCCTACGGGGACACCCGACACGGGCGTCTCCGGCAGCCCCGGCGCGTCCCCGGCGGAACGCGCGGCCGCCCGCGCCCTGCCCGGCCCCGGCCCCGCGGGCGGCCGTCGGGGCGCCCGGGTCCCCGCCGAAAGTTTGGCGGGGCGGGGCCGGGGTGCGCTGCGGCCTCGCACGGAGACAAAAGGAGCGCGGAGCAGCGCTGCAGCTCACCTTGGAGGGACAGAGCGAGGCTGAAGGGACACCTTCCGCCTCAGTCCTCCTCCTCCTCCTTCCCGTGCCCCCGGCCCTGTGGCGACGGCGGGGCCGTGGGACATGCTCATGCTGGGGACCGGGCACGATCACCTGGCTCAGCCCCGCCAAGGGTCCGCGCCCCGACGCTAAACAAAAGCGGTGGGCAGCGGCCCTGCCGCCCGCTCCCCGCCCGCCCCCGCTGTCCCAAACTCTTTGGTGCCCAGCTAGCATCCCAGCGGGCCGGCACCGCGCTCGGGAAGGACGGAGAAGCTCGGCGGTGCGCCCGGAGCGGGACCCCCACGTCGGGGCAGCGGGTCCGGGGCTGCCGGCAGGGCGGGAGCGCTGCCGGGAGGTGCCGCCGGGTGGGGGGGCCACGACGCGGACCCGCTGCTCATTGTCTGTCCCAGGCTGTCCCCGCGGCAGGGCGGCGTGGAGGGTGCGGGAGCATCCACAGCACGCTTGGGGGTCTTGTGAGTTCGTGCGCTGTGTGTGCACAGTGGACGTGGGTGCCGGAGGCTCCAGCCCTCAGGACCTTGCCTACCAGGCCTGAAAGATGTGCCCAGAAGTGCTGTTTACTTTATTTTCTTTTCTCTTTTTGGTTCTTTTGCCTGGTTTTGTGTTGGTTTGGTTGGGGTGAGGGGTGTTTTTGTTTGTTTGTTTGTTTTGTTTTGTTGGAGTTTGTTGTTGTTGTTTTTGCCTTAGAAGCAGGCAGAACCTTGGAAAAGTTATTAGGAAATGGTAGTTAATAGCAGCCTGCACCCAATACAGTAGGGATGATTTTTCAAAGTCAGCTAACAGAGGATGATCCTGAGATGAGGGGCATTCTTAGAAGGAAGAAGAGAATGGAAAGGGCATACTATTCAGCCTTTGCAGAAGTTGTCCTGTTTACAACTTCTACAGTCCCTGCTCACCTATGACTCTTCTTATTTTCCTTCAGTTCATGTTCATTTCATGCTAACAACCCACAACTTGTCCTTCTTCCAGTTCCTTTCCCCTCCCCATCTTCCCTAGCTTTGAAGCTCATTCAAGCCATTTCCTCCTACCTGATGATGTCAGCCTCAAAATTTTGTTCTTCAAAACATTTCACAACTACCCACCCAGGATCAACCTTTTTATCCTCGTGCCCCAGAGAAACTGTCCCCAGTTCATCCATTGCTGCCTGTGATTTATGTTTCCCTTCCTACATTCTGCTGCAATGTACACTGCTGTTGGTTTCTGTTATAGTTTTCTGAGGTGAAATGATTATACGTATCATACTATAATACCTGGCATGAGAAGTGCATCCTTGTTGTCATTCTTTATCATCACCTCCTTCAGCCCTTCTGCACTGAGTGCTCTGGAGCAACTATCATAAATTTTGAATATATCTTAAAATTTCCTCCTAAATAATTTCCTATGCACTGTTTCTCCCCTCCATCCATTTCTGACTTTTCACAATTTTTTATTCTCTCCATCTACACTATTTTCATGGTTGTTCTGTCCATGTTTCTCTCTCCACCTCTGCACTTTTGTTTCCTTAATCCTTTGGTTTTATGGTGGAAGAGGAATGTTGACTGCACCTTTCCTTACTTCCAGCCTTATTTCTCTGGTTTTCACATGCACTCTCTTAGCAGGGCACAGTGAAGTCCAGCAAACACGTACTCTTCTGCTAACACGTATATATTTTTTTGCTGTGTTTCTTTCCCAGACAATTCCCAAATCCAGTGGAAGACTGTCCTGTTGTTTGCTGGTTGCCAACCAGCAAACATCTTAGAAAGGGTTGCTCTTAGTGTCTTTCTCTGGAAAAATGCAAATTGTACAAGTAGCTCTTTGTGTCATGGGAATTTGGCTTTGGCAGACATCCATGACATTTTGCATAAAGGTATAACTTGCTGAGAATTTGTGAAGATGTTGACTTGCCCTGTGGTCTGCCAGCTGAGTTGGAGTTTGTGGGGCAAATAAATACGATCACCCACATGCACTTCTTTTCTTCCCCTGGAAATGGGAGGCCAAAAGCTTCTAAAAAGATACAATCGTATACATTGTAAATTCTCTGGTACTGTATTTAAATATACTGGCTGTATTTAAACAAAGTATGTGTCTACCTCTTCATTATGAGCAATAAAGATTATTAATTATTGGACCAGAGGTCACAAGTTGCCTAGGGTCCCATAATCATGGATCCCATTCAACACACACAAAGAGAGGAGAGTCACCATTGAAAATATCTTGTGAAGAGCTAACTGAGCAAGAGTGAAAAAAACAGAAAATTTGTTTGAAAGGACAAAAATGTCAGAAACATTTCAGTAAAAGCTATTGTGTCTTATAGAAGTGCTTATTTGATGGGTAAGTGGCCATCTGCCATCGAGACAGTAAAATTTGGTTGCAATTCCCTTGTGGTTCATTGGGCAGGTAAAGAGAAGCATTAAGCAATAAAAAGGAATACATACGAGGCAATAAAAAAAGACTAGTTTATGATAATTAACATAAAGTAGAAATTATATAATGTAGAACATTATTTGGAAAAGTCAAAAACATTATATAAAAATACACATCTCGAATGGATGGAATTAAAGTAATTTTACAGTAAGTGGGGAATGAAGCATCTCCTAATAATGTTCATAGGCCTGTCAGTTCTAATTATGAGACAAAATATTCTACTAATGATACCTGTGTTCTGTAAGTGAGAAGATAAATATTGCACACAGAAAATTAACTATTTTTTTTGCCTTTGGGGAGCACCTATCTCCAGTAAACACTGAATCCTTAGCCCCAGATGCCTTGCACCCTAACATCAGAAAATACTTGGCACTTTATTTCACGGCAATGTTCAGTTTAACGAATCCTGGAATGCCATGGAAATTTTGGGAATTTATTGCCAACGTTGTGCCAATATGAAAAAGGGGCAAGTGGAAAGAGATTGCAATACTCCATTTTGCCTGACATTGTCCTCTTAAAAATTAGTGAAAAGCCTGACATGGGATTACACTCAAGGAGAACTAAGGATAAGTATAATGATTCTAAAGCACCGTTCCTCCATCTTTAATTCCTTTTTTGCCTTTGTATTTAAATTTCATTGTGGATGTAGGATGGGTTGGAATACAGATCTAGTGACAGTTCCACATGCTGACTGATCTGGCTTGAAGAAAGTCACAGCAGTGAAGAAACTTCCCATAGAGTGCCAATATTTAAACATTTCTAAATGGCAGTGACCTAGTCTCTTCTGGCTCCCAAATAATGGGAACAACTGGCCTGTACTACCTGGGTTTAGTTCTTAAATCCTTGATTCCCACAATGCACAGCCACATTTTTCTTAATTCTTTCACCTATCTGATTTCATTCTGTCTCCATATGACTTTTGCTCTGCTTCACAAGCCTCCTCAAGGAAAGACTTCTTAAAAATTAACTCTAGACACAATTTCAGGACTTTTAAGATCACAAAAGTTCATCAAATCATATGAAAGATCAAACTTTTTTCCTTGGCAAACTAGACAGAAAACATAATCCAGTTGCTCCTGTATTTATCCTGGTTGTCCATTTTCCTCTGAAGTCTGACCTCCAGAAGGGTGTTCCATTTTGCTAAAACATTGTGTGACACACAGTCAACCACTTTTCTTAAGAACAAAGCCAAATATAACCCTAGCTGTTAAAAAAAGAAAACAGCAAACCAAAACCAACAAGGCCTGGACTTCACTTTCAATCAAAATTTGTTTGGCTTTAGTTTCTAGTTACTTATTAAATTTGTTTTATGTCTCGCCACCACATTAAATTAGTGTACAGCTAATTTTATAAATGGGGGCCTGAAAGCAAGACTGGCTGCACAGGACAGGAAACCTTACTGCAGAGATAATGTACTTACAGGATTGTTTTAATCTCTTTGAGGGATTACTTACATTAACTTGTTTAGGTTCCATTACATTTACCAAGAAAACATACAATTGCTCAAAGTTTGCCAGCTGAGTGGACTTCTGGGTCTGTAACACTCATTCAACATTTGGTTGCCACACTAAGGGCAATGGCCATTTAGAAGCACACGTCAGTGGCACAGCAATGATGTAAAGACTGAAGCCCCCAAGCCCTGCATTTCATGTAGCTGCTGCAAGCACCTACCACACAGATCAGAATGAAGAGCAGCCCAGCCTGCAGCAGGGACCTGGATGCTGATTATGTCTCGCTCCCATTACCACAGAGCACCCCAGAAGAGGAGAGTTGTTTTCAGTTCTATTTTAATACATCAGCATTAAACTCACAGAACTCATAGAAAAGTTATCATACACCAGTACAGTGACTGCCTTTGCTTTCACTGTGAGAAAAAAAAGCTGCACAAAAAGTTCAGTGTTGCTGGAACCCTGCTTCCCTGAGTAGTGAACTCCCACTCATCCTCCAAGAGCATCTGAAAATTCTGACTTGACTGTGGACTTCTGGATGTTGACATGTGTAGGAAGATGAGCAGTACAGCAGATGATCAGCAAAATGTAGCAAAAAATGTAGCAAAAAATCCCTCTTAGGGGATAATTCAGAGGACCTGCTGACCTCCTAGCAAATTTTTTTTGCTTCTCATTTTATTTTTCTGTATTCAGAGGCTGATTTCACCACTACTCTCTTTTGCAGAAGCGTGAATCAAATCAATATGTCAATCCACTCCTGTAAACATAAAGACCAAGAAAGACAAACCTGCAAATGAAATAATTGTTTTGACATTAATATATTCTTCTCTGTAGACACAAACCCAGAAAATTCATAGAATGTTTATTTTTTTGGGGAGAAGG